CAGGCCCTGGAGGGAGAGGAAGTTGATTGATGACTTGTTCAATTTCTTTTTTTAAAATGGAGTTATTTAAGTATTTTATTTCCTCTTCTGTTAATCTGGGCAATTTATATTTTTGTAAATATTCATCCATTTCACTTAGATTTTCAGATTTGTTGGCCTACAGTTGGGCAAAATAGCTCTTAATTATTGCCTGGACTCTACCTGTTAATTTTACTGAGTAGTCCCTACTCTTCTACCTTAGCTTCCAAAGTACTTCGTATAGTCTGGTGTTCTCAGAAAGACTGATGTATATCATATTGTGTAGGACAAAGCATTGGTGTCAGATTTGGATGACAAGTTCTAGAAATGATGTTATGGAACTCTTGAGTCCAAACTGAACTCTAGAGCATTCAACAAACTGTACTGCCATTTTACTATAGGTGTTTTCCTTATTTTATTTTTTAAAACTAGGCCCACTTTTAGTACTGATTATATAAAGGAGATTTAAAGTTAGAGCTATGTCAACAGTTTTGAGTTTTTTAATCTTAAGAATTATTCATTTCCCGTGACATGAAGATATTAGGAGGTAAAACGGTAAAGGTTTTTCTCATTTTAACATAAATTTTGCTGACTGGGAGCAGAGAAGCACAATTATTTTGACATTATGTTTACATGGCGAATACCGTTTTCCTTTTTCTGAACTCAAATAAAGCAGGCTATCACTTGCCTTTCCCATTTGCTTAAAAACAGTACCTAGATAGAGGGTAATAAAAATGATGAGGATGGATGGCCAGTAGGAAAGGGATGATCAACTTGGATTCAGGGATTATTTGAAACCTTTTGAGACTAGGACCAAAAATGCAAACATCTCTGCTTTTAATAGGCTGCTGTCTTTTATTGGGAGAATCTTCTGTTTATCTTTACCTGTCATTGTTTCAAAGAGTTGGGTGCAAAAAAAATAGAAAGAAAACAGAGGCTGCCTTACTTTTCTTAGATTTTCATGGCATTTGGAGAACAGTCCAGGAGGAACTACTAGGCATTGGTTGACTTGCCCTTAGATCACCGTCCCTGTCCCCATACATCTTCTTTTATAACATATAGAGGAGTGGGTCTTTGTTCTTTAAAAAAATATATATACCTGCTGTGGTATTACCCTAACTGAAAAATTAAAATTTTATTATATTTTATACATGCCTCTTTCCATTTTATAAAGTAAATGAGTAGGAAAATAACATTTTGATATTATGGAATTTTGTTTTACACTGTTTAAAATGTATATATTACACTTTTTAAATGTATGCTAATATGTATACACATACTTTAAATTACTACAAGTAGGATTATCTTTTGATTCACTGTTTTTTTAATATTGTAAGTAAAGTTGTGGTTAAAATACTTAAAATTTGAAATTACATGGCAGAGGAGAAGATTATTTTTTATTTAGCATACAGCATTAAAAAAAACACTTCAGGTGCTGTGGATTCTAGACTCAATAACTGTTGTTATAGAACAAAGAATAGACTTCATTTGCCCATAGAATAGACTTTCTGGTCATTGTTTTTTAACCTCTGGTGGACATATGTTTGAATCTAAGAAGAAATAAATATGAAGTAAAATTCTTGGGGCAGCTAGGTGGTACAGTGGATAGAGCACGAGTCCTGTAGTTAGGGGGACCTGAGTTCAAATGTGATCTCAGACCCAATACTTGACACTTTCTAGCTGTGTAAAACCCCGGGCAAGTCGCTTAACCCCAATTGCCTTGCCAAAAAAAAAAAATTCTGTTACAAAGTACGTTCCTATATTATAGAGGTTCGAATCATTCTGCAGGCTACATCATAGTATATACATTTAACTGTAATGAATGAATGAAGGCGTTTATTAAAAACACCCAAGTTCCATGCTATATAACATGCAAAACCCATAAGGCTGTTGGGGGCAGGGAATAAACATTTAATAGAGCACCTGCTATGTGCCAGGACGGTGCTAAGGGCTTTTTAATAATAATCATAGCTAACATTTACATAGTGCTTACTAGGTACCAGGTATTGTGCTAAGAGCTTTACAGTTATCTCATTTGATGGAAGTAACTTGCCCAGGATCATGCATCTAGTAAGTGTCTGAGGGCAAATTTGAACTCAAGTCTCTGTGACTGCACGCGTAGTGCAGTAGATCACCCAACCACTTAGTCGCCTCTTGTCTTGAGATAATAACCTCACTCTAGTAAGATTTTACAGTATATGTTGATTTATGTCTGTTCTTCTTCTAAATAGTTGATGTTTCCCTGATTTTTTTGAGACCACAAGTCTAATCATTTGGTTAGGTATTAGGTTTTCATATGTCTTATCTCATGGCTGTATTAGTTACTATTATTGCCAAAATGTTCCTTCTGTTTTTAGATGATGCATACATAGAAGATTTTCAAAACAGTTGGACTGAATGCGTTATTGCTGAGCCAGTCACTCAGGTATCACCTAGCTGTCTTGATTGCTATGGGAGATTGGAAGACTATTACAGTGCCAATTCCATCATCAGGTAATTATAGTTTAAAAAAAAATAAAGTGTAGTATCTTGAATGAACTTAAATTCTTACCTGGATTAAATAGTTTGTTGAAAACATGGCTAAAGAGATATCAAATCAAGAGGTGAATGTGATATAAATTTTTTATATAATACACATTTTTTGACATGCCCAATGCTGGAATCCACTTTGCTTAACTGCATGTTTGTTACAGGGTTGTTTTTTTTCCTTTTTTTTTGTTTTTAGTTCAGTAGAGGATAGGGAGATGAGATGGGAAGGAAAAAGTAAATACTTGTTAAATATATAATAAAATTACATTAAAAAAAATCATGTTATACAACCTCAACTTGGCCCTTATTGCAGCAAGGTGGTCTTTATTCCTCCCCAATTGATTGCCTGACTCACTCCCCACAGAAACTGTTCCAGAGCTTCTTTTCCGCTCTATAAGCCTCCTCTACCTGCCTCTTCCTCTCTTACTCTCTCTCACTTGGCTGAGGGCCTTGCCCTTTACTAAGACAATTAAAGCCATTTAATATCAGCATCTTCTTTTCCCATTGTCTTCATCTCTAAACCCTTGAATCATCTTCTGCCTTCTCCTTTTCCCTTTCTCTGACAAAGAAGTGATCTTCCTTGCCAAGGCCAAAATCTCTGCACATACACTTGATTGTGAGCTTCTTGAGGCCAAGGACTGTTGTGAGTTTCTTTGTATCCCCAGCTCTTAACGTAATGTCCAGTACATGATAGGCACTTACTAAATGATTATTGAGTGACTGCTTCATTGGAGCTCATTGGAGCCAATACTTCACTGAGGTTAGTACTCTTATATGCTTACCCGTCATGCATAGCTCTCATCCATCTCTTCCTGTAAGTCTCCTGCAAGCAGTCTACCATGTCCTTGAGGCTTTCATCTAGACCTCATAACATTGCGTCATTACCAGGAGATCACACTGGTTGCCAATTGGTTATCCCTTTCTCTCATTATGTGATCAGTCCTTTTTTTCCCCCCCAATCCTACATTATAATAGCTAACATTCATGTATTTGATACATACATGCATACACTTGTGTGTGTGTTTGCATGAGGTAGTTACTATAAACATTGTCTCCATTTTACAGATGGGGAAACTGAGGCTTAAAAGGTTAAGTGACTTGATGATGGCCACACAGTTATGTGTTAGGTGGGGCTTGAACTTGCTTCTTGTTTGATTTTAAGTCCAGAACTGTCAGTTTTACACTGTGATGTATAAAATAATCTAATTGTTATTTCAAGTGAAATTCAAAGGGTATTATATATTGTAATATATATGTATATGTTATATATATAATATATGTGATGTTTAGAATTTGAGATGAATGGCTAAGATGTTTTTGGCAATTCTCTGCCTTCTAAATGCTATATCACAATTGTCTACATATGTTATTTCTTGATTCTTCTGTTAAATTAACAGTTCCTTGAACATGGCACTCCCTTCCCTGCCTCTTAATTTTCACAGCTTTCTTTAAGGCTCAGTTCAAACCCTAACTTTCACAGGTCTTTCCCAATCACTCCTGCTTGCCAGTGCTTTGCCCTTTGACATTATCTTCAATCTACTCTGTATATATCTTGTATACATTTAATTATTTACATGTTATCTCATCTGTTAGATTATGAGCTCCTTGAGGGCAGGGATTCCCATAGTAACTTCCAGTTTTTATAAGTTGTGTGTGGTATGGGTTGAGTAGATTTTTGTTATTCATTAAGTCCAAATTGATGGGGAAAAAGTGTAAATTAAAGCTTTATACCATAATTTAATGGTGGTTGGGATAGGAGGAGAGAAAATGATTTAAAAACTATTCTGTACATTGGCCCCTTGTGAAAATGAACATAATTGTTTTTTTTTAAATAAAAAAATCCTTACTTGTATTTGAAAATGCTCTTAAAATCTATATAACTTAGAGTGCTTTTTTGGCAAATATGCTAAGTAATTTATATTAAGTATTTTTTTTCTTGACTTTCAGAAAGCAAAAATATTTCTCAGTTTACCTCAGAAACCAATATGTCACCTTCAAGTTTATGCTCACAGCAAGTTCTGTGTCCTTCACTACCTTTGGCAAAGAGTGTGCACAATTTTTTCAGGGCTTTCTGCACAGAAGAGAATGTTGACCAGAGTGTGTCCTATCTTGATCAGGTAATTTTAAAAATAAAGAGCTGGCAGAAATCAGTTTATTCAACTGTAGTGTCTAGTAGCTCGGAGAGAAAATCTTACAGGAAGGACAAATATACTATGATGTTTAAGTGTTTCGGGGATAGTTTTGAAAGTCATTATCTATCTCTTAAGTCTGTTCAACAAATACTTTTAGAAAAAAAAAATATATTTTTCTCCTACCAGGAGCTGACTACTTTAGGTTTTCCTTCATTATATGAAGAATCCAAAGGTAAAGAGGTTAAAAGAGATTTAAATATAGTTGCAGTTTTAAATTGTATCCAAGAACTACTTGTACTTCATCGAAAGAACCTCCTAGCTCAGGAAAATGTGGAAACACAGAATTTGAAACTGGGAAGTGATATGGACCATCTGCAGAACTGCTATTCCAAACTGAAGGTAGAAATTATATTCAATTTGCATTCAAATTATGTTATGTAAATTAATGCTAGACATTTTCAGTTGTTTTATTTGCCAAACATGTTAAATAAACTTTAGTGATAATTATCTTACTATTGTTGTTTGTGTGTTAATGCAGCTACTTAATGCAAGAAGGCAATAATTTCTACATCTTAATATTTATAATGAAGATGTTTACTTTATGCACGGTTTTTGTGACCATCTGGATATAACAGATACAGTTAAGGAATAATAATGATGAAATTTATGATTTTAAAGAACTTGTTTCCTAACAAAACAGATGACACTAATGAAACCAGTCCTATTAAGAAGCTAGAGCCAAAACCCTGAAAACAGCATTCATATTTAAAGGACTCTTGTACCACAGAGCCAGTACTTACTGTAATAGTGGGCCAGGAGTTAAAGAAATCATAGATGATGAGCTATTCTTTTCAGAAGTCTCCTGGGCCTTTCAGATGATAAGACTATGGCAAAGTGTTAATAGTAGGTTTACTTGTTTCATTTTTGAACAGAAGAAATTTTTTTTCAGGGTCATTGATTTGCTACATCACAATGGCAGTTTAAAAAAAATTGCAGGTCAGTCTACTTTATTAAGAAAAAAAGACCTTTTGAATTAGTTGTGCATTGGATATCATGTATTTTCTTTTGTTTATTAGGTATATAATGTAATATAATAAGAATCACAATGATCAAATCATCTTCCTCATTTAAAAAGGCGCTCTCTCTCTCTCTCTCTCTCTCTCTCTCTCTCTCTCTCTCTCTCTCTCTCTCTCTCTCTCTCTCTCTCTCTCTCTCCTCCTCTCCCCCCTTCTCTCTCTCCCTCCACCCCCTCTCCCTCTATCTCTACCCACCTTCTGTCTCTCTCCCCCTGACAGCTTCCTCATATCTGTCTCAGTCTGTTCCTGCTTCTCTTGAATAGCACCAAAAAGATAACTTTTTTTTAATACTTCTTGGCAAAAAATGGTATATTATATATGTTGGGATGGTGTCTGGTCTGTCTCTTGGTGTCCTTTTGGATTCCTTTTGGATTTTAGAGAGGCTGCTTCTTGCTCAGCTCCTAACACCTGCTGCCTGCCAGACCTTTTATAGCCTAATATTGAAGAATAATATCAGTTGCATTTTAAAACCATTTTCTCTTGAACTCAACTCATTCACAGTAACAGTTTCCTTTTTTTGTTGTTTATTTTTGTTTTAAGAATGTTTCCTCATTCTTTAACATCCTGGAGATCGTTTGAGATTAGCTCAATGTATAAAATAGCTCATTGGACTGAAAAGGCCTGGAGTATTTAGAGTGTATTTAGAGGCTTTCTAAAAGGTCTGTTCAGGATCTGGGCTGGTTCTGTGGTTCTAGAGGATCCATGATAGTTAATTATGAGAGTCACTTCACAGGACTAAAATTTACTTGGAAGACCTCAGAACTACAAAATGGATCCCTGAGTTCTCCATTTTTTCAAAATTGAATTGAGAGAGTAACCACTAGGAACTAGAGCTAATCTATTTTCCTCAGTAGTTTGGGCCCAGAACATAAAGGGAAAACAGTAGTCTAATAGTTATTTCTGTACACGAACATTTCAAAGGGGCATATAGTGGGCATGTAAGATGTGACTATAAAGTATTTTTTTAAAAAACCCCACAAACACCAAAACTTGTGTACCCAAAGGCATGTTGTTACTTTCAAAGGTAGGCACTTTGGGCTGCTATATATTTTATTCTAATCATGTTCTTGTGTATGTAAAACATTTTTATAATTCTTCTTTGGGAAGCTGCCTTTAGAGTTAATAAGCCATATAAGAAAATCAGTTAAATTACTTTATAGTCACACCTAATTTTGATTCAGAAACATGTTATCAACTATCTTCACCAAGTTTGACTCTTACTCATTTTTGCCTGGTTCCGAAACCAAATTGAACCTGAAAGAGTTAAGATTTGTCTCTTCTGAGAATGCTCAAAAGACTGTAGCATAATTTTTGAAGCCTCTTCCAGGAGTTGCAAAAACATTTTGAGAAATGATAGCATTATTGGAGTGTGTCACCTTTGAAAGTTCTTAATTTGCAAGGAATGACATTTCTTTGGCTGTATAAATTCTGCTGTTTAAACCTCGTTGTCTTCATTTTATAGCCAATTTTCATTTAAAGAGAAAGTTTGTGTGAAAATAGACTACATCTTTTATTTTAGATGGCAAAAATTTCAATGTATCTATAACTTGTTTAGACTCTTAAGAGTATAAACTAGGTTTGAATTCTATGTGAACTTTACTTAAGGCTGAATATGGATGTTTTAGGAACAACTAGAAACATCTAGGAGGGAAATGATTGGGCTTCAGGAGAGAGACAGACAGCTGCAAGGCAAGAACAGAAACTTGCATCAGTTACTTAAAAATGAGAAGGATGAGGTGAGTCATAGCTATTATTGATCAAATCCTAGTGAATTTTTTTCCTGTAGTATAAAGTATATGGATTTTGTGTCCATTCTTTCCTTAAAATAGGAAAGAGCAAAATCTTATGTCCCACATTGCCAGCTGGTATGGCATGTTTAGTTTATTCAGTAAAGTTTCAACTCCAGATCTACCATTCCTTTTGGTTTACTTGTCATAGCTAATTGACTTCCTTCCCCTAGATAACTGCTCTTCTGACTTATTTTCACTTTTTCTTAGAGTTGAGCCTCTAATGTCCACCACATATTTCCAACTCCTGCCCCACATTCCTTTTCACCTAATGATACCCTCAACTTTGCCACGTATAAGTGATTTTTAAGATAATAAGGAGTAGTACAAAAAATGTTGAATATTGTCTCCCAAATAGAATTTTTGTCACCACTCGTAATGTCTTAGTTCTAGCTTTCTATCTAGACCTGCTGACTTGAAACTTAAGCTTATAGAATTGGTTATTAGAATTCACATGTTTTATTTATGTATGAGAAAGCTGTTGTCTTAATTGTCTTGTAATGTAACCCCTGATATGTGATAATTCAGAAATCTAGAATGCCTATTTATTTTCAATAATAGTATAAACTTGCTAGTTTGAGAGAATGGCTTAAAAACAATTTTTGGAATGATTTTACCTCAGTAGCTGTGTAGATATATATATATAGTAAATAGGTGGTAAATAAGTGAAAACCATGTAATACTTTGAATTAGACAATTTTGTAAAGAAAGTCCAGAGTGTAGCACTTTGGCTTGAGGGTTGTAGGACCTAAATGATGTTCTCATTTTGAAAGTGCTTGTAGATAGAATATCATCTGTTGCCATAGGAGTCCTCCTCTTGACATACAAACATTAATGTTGAGCAAGAGTTCTGGATTTTTTTTTCCCCATATAGGCACTGGACTTATATTAATAATGTGAGCTGTGCTTTAGAATTGGGGGAAAAGTTAGACTATTCATTGTGGAAAGATCTTAAAAATAGGAAAGCTTTGGCCTTTATATGTGTGTGGGGGGAGGGAATTGTGTAGCTAGAAGAACTTTTTCTGAGTTGATAAAACAATCTAGCATTTTTTAATGTTTTGAATAAATTAAAAAACCTCAAGGATTTGTGATTCATCCAGGTTTTATATGCATATTACATTTCTTCCAGAGCTTATTAGTGGTTTGATGAGTTGCTTTGGACAAAAAACCTCATCAGCTAGTGGTGGCCCATCATGTCAGTTAATGAGCTCTTTGAACTTAGCTGGGCTGTTCCTTGGACAACAGACACAAAGTCTTTGCCCCTTTGTTTGAAGCCTTCAGTATAATCGTCTGAAGCACCTTTGAAATTCAGGCAATCACCTCTATGCCATAACCAGGCAGTATTTCAGTTGGGAGAAAAAAGTAAGGCTTACAGCTAGTATGGTGTTTTGCACACAGTAGGTATCTGAATTATTTCTTAAATTGACGTTAGATTAATTTTTTAATTTGGCCCCTTGCTAGTTAATATAGACTGGTGGGATGAATGAGGTAGTCCTCATCCAAAATACCCAAGAGAGAAAAGCTTTTTACTTTTTCACTTTTGGAGTTATTAATACAAATGCATACATTGTTTAAAGGAACACCTGTTTAAAAGCAAATGCCTTTTTTTAAGGTACAAAAATTACAGAATATCATTGCAAGTCGGGCAACTCAGTATAATCATGATATGAAGAGAAAAGAGCGAGAATATAACAAGCTAAAGGAACGTCTTCATCAACTTGTTATGAATAAAAAGGATAAAAAAACAGGTAAACATCTGACAAGTAGTAAAGAGGTAAAGAAGTTGTAATTATTGGGGGGATGTTTTGATTTGAGAAATCAAATATAAGGGACTATACACATTAATTTGGAGTGTTGTGTTTTCATCCTTTATATGGTTTTAGATGAAGAAAATCCATAAAGTAACTAGATACTGCTTTATGGAAAAGGAGAATTGTCTACTTTGCCTGTGAGCAGCTAGTAGTTGTTTATTTTTCTACCACTGAAGAGGAGGTATACAAACAATAAGCCTTAAAGATAATATAAAACAGTCTGCTCAGAATTCATTTTGGTCAAAGACCATTACAAAACTGATAAGGCAAGGTATGGTTGTGATGTGGTCTTCAGAATGTTAGAACAGGATGAGAGTAAATTACAGAGTAAAAAAGTACATAGTATTTTAGGGTTAATTCCATAAGTACTTAAGTGCCTACTGTGTGCCTTTCATTGGATAGGTACTGGGGGAAATAGATGAGCAAAATTATTTGTCACTTGCCTCGAAGACCTTATAGTTTAATAGAGGAAAAAATATAATTTAAATGGCTAAGGAGTGTTAAGTTCTATGAAATCAGATCACTTCTAGCCTTGAGGAATCAAGGAAGAAATCTAAGTAGATCAAGTGTTATCTGAAATGTAGCTTTTTTAAATCTATTTAGAAAGATTCTAAAAGCTTTTGTGTTAGGCAATAAGTGACCTCTTGTTGGTTTTTAAAAAAATTTTTTTTCAATTAACATTTATTTTCACTTCATCACCCTTCTGCATGCATCCCAGTTAAATAACAACCAAAAGAAAAAAAACCTGTCATAATGAATATACCTAGTCAGGCTAAGCAAATTTCTTATTGGCCATGTTAAAAAATGTGTCTCCTTCGTTATGAGCCCATCACATGATTATGAGATTCATCTGTAGTCATCTTTTATAGTGGTTTGTTATTGCATAGATCAGATTTCCTAAATTCTTTTTAAAAATTTTTTAAATGTTGCTGTCATTGTATAAATGTCCTGCTGCTGCTCACATCATTACACATCAGTTTGCATGCATCTTCCCAGTTTACTCTAAAACTGCCCATTATTTCATCATTTCTTGTGGCACAGTAAATGATATTAAATTACATTTATATAGCATAATTTATTTAGCCATTCTCCAATAGATGGACACCCCTTTAGTTTCCAGTTTTTTGCCATTACAGAAAGAGATTCTATAAATATTTTTGTTTATATGAGTCTTTGATCTCTTTAGGGTATATGCCTAGTTCTAGTATATCTGGGTCAAACTGTATGCACAGTTTAATAACTTTTTGGATGTCTTTACAAGTTGTTTTCCAGAATAGCTAGACTAACATGTAGCTCTACTGTGTACATTATTATGCCTGTTTTCCCACAGGCCCTCCAACATTTGTCATTTTCCACTTTTGTCATCTTAGCCAGCCTGATAGGTAGAACCTCAAATTGCCTTAATTTGCATTTCTCCAATTATTAGTGATTTTGAGCATTTTTTTCATGTTGTTAGCTTATATTTGTTTCTTTTAAAACTTAACTTCATGTTCTTTGACCATGGCTACTGGTGAATGACACGTAAATTTGAATCAGTCCTTTATATCTTGGATGTGATATTTTATCATGGAAGCTTTTTACAAAGATTTTTTTCTCCAATTACCTGTTTTCTTCCTGATTTTAACTACCTTGGTTTTGTTTGTGCAAAAAACTTCTTAATAATAACAATAGCTAGTATTTATATAATGATTGAACGTTTGCAGAGTGCTTATAAGTAATATCTCGTTTTATGCTCTCAACAACCCTTGCAGGTAGATGCTATTATTATCTCTGTTTTAGAGATAAGGAATTTTATATAATCATAATTGTGCCTTTCATGTACTTTGATCCTATCCCTTGTTTTGGCCATCCACAGATCAGAAAGATAATTTCTTCCTTGTTCTTCTGCTTTGCTTTTTGAGGTCACTTTTTATGTCTTAAGTTATGTCTCCATTTGGAATTTTATCTTCATCGATGATATGAGATGTTCGTCTGTACGTAGTATCTGCCAGACTGCTTTCCAGGTTTTTTAACATTTACTGCCAAATAGTGAGTTTTGAGGTTTATTGAACACTATGCTCCTGTGTTCTTTTCCTCTCTTGTGTAACTAATCTGTTCCACATATTGACTGCTTTTTTAAACTAGTACCCAATTGTTTTAATGATTATTGCTTTATAGTATCATTTGTAATGGAGATCTGGTACTGATGGGTGCTGCTAGGCCTTGTTTATTCCCACTTTTTTCACAATTTCCCTTGATATTTGTAACAGTTGGTTCTTCCAGATGACTGTTGTTATTTTTCCTAGCTCCATAAAATAATCTTTTGGTAGTTTGATTGGTTTGGCACTGAATAAGTCACTTAGCTCAAGTAGCATTGTCATTTTTGTTATACTGGCTCATCCTGCCCATGAGCAAGTAATATTTCTCCCATTATTTAGAGTTGTCTTTATTTCTGTAAAGAGTATTCTGTAGTTGGATACATAGTTCCTGATTGTATCTTGGTAGATGGATTCCCATATAGTTTATATGTTATTTTAATTCAGATATCTCTCTCTGTTCCTGAATGATTTTGTTGATAATATACAATATACTGATGATTTATGTGGATTTATTATATTCCACAGCTTTTGCTTTTAACTTTATGGATTACATCCTGCAACTTTGAATTTATTGTGTCAGTTAATTTTTAGTTGATGCTACGGTTTAGATAAATTATGTCACTTTGCAAAAAGCTGTGGTATTTCCTGTTTGTTTTATTCTCTCAGTTTCTTGTTCTCATCTTATCACTATTAACTAGCATTTCTAGCAATATGTTGTTAGACAGTAGTCAAAGTAATAGATATTCTTGCTTTTCTAATTGGAAAGACTTCCAACTTTTCTTATTGTATTAAATTTAATATTTATTCTTGGTTTAAATGATATTACTGTTTGCTTTGTTAAGGAAAATTTATTTCTGACTTTTAAAATGTTTTTAATAGAAACATTGGATTTTGTCAAAAATCTTTTCAGCATCTCTTGAGATATTAATGTGGTTTTTATTATTAATGAATTAATGATTTATTATCTATTATATTTATGTATTCCTTACATTGAATGAACAAATCCACATTCCTGATATAAATCCAAATGCTTATAGTGTATAATCTTGATACTATATTGTTGTAGCCTATTTGCTATTATTTTATATTAAGATTTTGGTATCAATGTTCACTTAGCATATTTGTCTACAGTTTTGTTTCTCTGCTTTTTCTCTCCTTTAGTTATAAAGTCCATATTTGTGTCATGTAAAGAAATTATAAGTGTCTCTTCCCCCCTCCCCATTTTCGCAAGCAGTTTATGTAATACTGTAATTGAATATTCATTGAATGTTTGATGGAATTTATAAATCCATCTAGTTTGGGAACTTTTATCTTTGGAAGTTCATTTATGACTTTATTTAATTTCTTTTTCTGATAATGAGTTTTAAGTAGTCTATTTTCTTTTGTTAACCTGCCATTTTATATTTTTGTAAGTATTCATTAATTTATTCTAAGTTAAAAGTTTTGTTGGCGTATTAGTGGACAAAATAATTTCTGATAATTTTTTATTTACTCTTCAATTGTGAATTTTGTGTCCATTTTTTTTTTTTTTTTTAAATAATTAACTTTTTATCAATTTTATTAGTTTCTTTTCTAACCAGCTCCTAAACTTATTCAGCAATTCATTTTGTTTTGTTTTCACATCTCCCTAATTTTCAGAAATTCTTTATTTTTGAGGGGTTTTGATTTCTTGCTCTAGTCCTTTTAGTGCGTGCCCAATTCATTGATTTACTTTTTCTCCCTTTTGTTGATGAAAGTGTTTATAGAGATATTTTCCTCTAAGGACTACCTGCATTCTAAGCATTGGTATGTTGTCTCATTATTGTCATTTTATTGAAGTTTTCTATTATTTCTATAATTTGTTCTTTTACACTGTTTTTTTTCTTTCGGTATTACATGGTATGCAGTTAACTTTGGATTCTTTCATCATATTATTTTTTATTGCGTTGTGGTCAGTAAATGATGGGCTTAGTATGTCTACTTTTTTGCATTTGGGTGAGGTTTTTATGCTTCAGTAGATGTCCAGTTTTTGTTAAGGTGCAATATATATGGCTGAGAAATACGTAAAATCCTTTCTGTTATCAATCAGTAATCATCAGAGATCTAAAATTTTTAATTTTTCTGAGGTTCTATTCAGATACCTAATTTCTTATTTATTGTTTTGTTAGATTGTCTAGGTCTACAGGAGTCCATTTGAGGGTCCATTACTATTACAGTTTTTGCTCTCTAGTTCCACTTATAATTTAATTAACTTTTTCCTTAAGTATTTGGATGCTGTGCTATTTGGTATATATACATATGTGTGTATATATAGGTATGTGTGTATGTACACATGTTGTTACATCACCTGTGGTGCCTGTAAAACTAATATAGTTCTCTTGCTTGTCTCTTTTCATCATATCTCTTGTGGTAGCCTTGTCTGAAATCATGTTTGCTACCCATTTTCTTGAATTCAGCTAAAGCATAATAGATTTTGCTGCTGTTCCTGATTTTAACTGTATGAATCTTTTACAGTGTTTTTAAAGTGATTATTAGTTGGTATTACCTTGAAGCTTTTGTGTTATTTCAGATAATTAAAACAGATTAAAGGTAGTAATGGAAAGTCCTCTATCTCGTTTGCTAGATTGGCAAGAAGAGGAGGCACAGATTGAGATAAGCATCTAAATCAACCTTCAGTTATTTCAGTGGGCATGGTTTGGAGATTGGTGACCGTTGTTGGAACTTGAGATAGTGAATGTTTTGCTCACTTTTGGTTGTAATACCATCTAGGGAAACTTGTATCTAATGTACCTTAAAAACATTTTGATAGAATATTGTTAGGGACATTTAAGGTTGGTTGAATGTGAAATGACCTAGGAACTAATGAAATAAAGTATAATTCAATTTATTAAACGCCTGCTATATGCACAGCACTTTGGTAGATGGCTGTGGATATAAAAACAAAACATCATTGGTAATTAAAAACTAAATCCTTAAAATTCTGTTACTAACATAGCAGTTTTGATGTTTCTTGCAAAAATCTTTCAGGACTGTTTTTGAAGATCATACTAACTTGGGCTCTGGTTGGGCAAGGAGAGTTTAAATTCTTTGGGGATTACAACTGTCAGAAGTGTTTAGGGACAAAATATATTTTTTAGGGAATTGTTTTATAGTTGCAGATTTGCAAAGTATGTCTTTACTAGGTGTTTATCTTTGTTTCATAAAAAAAGTTTGAGCTCTGCTTTAGAAGCATTATATTAGCAACATAATCACCTTTATAGTAAGAAAACTGAAAACACATAAGTATAATTTTAACTTAAGAGTTTTAAATATTAATTATACAAAGTGTTTGGGAGAGAAGGAAGATAAAAAGATCTAGAAAAAGAAACGTAGAACCTGAAATACTTTCCATAGCTTTATACCATAGGATCCTAAAACATATACTATCAATATTAATACTATTATCAGCACAATTAATTATTCAGTATTAATACCTTTAATAATAACAAAATAACAGTAGTAGCTAGCATCTCTACAGAGCCTACAATTTGCTAGGCACTATGCTAAGCACTCTACGATATTTCATTTGATCCTTTGATCCTCACATCAACCCTGAGAGATAGATGCTATTAGTATCTTTACTTTAGAGTTGAAGAAAGTGAAGCTGACAGAAGTTAAGTGACTTGCCCAGGGTCACACAGCTAGTAAATGTCTGAGACCAGGTCCAGTACTCTATCTACTGTGCTACCTAGCTGCCTAAATAAATGTATACCTATAGGATATAGAGCTGGAAGTCACCTTCAGGATCATCTTTTAAAATTTTTATGGTTATAGTAGCTGATGACTCTTACAAGTTTTGAGATTTTGTATTCTTTCTACCTAAGTAAGCATTCAGTAGTACATAGTTTATGTACTTTGCCTAAATCTTGAAAGGCTTGAAAACTTTTCCCATTTATTCATGACTTTGCATTCACATGTACTACATAAAGAAATGAATGTTAATGAGGCAGGATGGTATAAGGAAGTGGCATTGAAGAGGTAAGAGTTAAAATCTCTGTTTTGTAACTTACTAATTGGCAAATCAACCTCTCTGAGGCTCAGTTTTCATCTACAAGGGTAGGGCCTTTTACACGTTCATTTTCATGATCAAGCCTAGAACATTGCAGAGCTTTTTAAGTGATATCTGTAATCAAAACATTTCAGCCTGACACTGCTCACTGGGACAAAAAAAAGGATGGAGAATGCCTATTTGTCCTTAATATGATATGATTAGTTGGTTGATTTATCTTTTGGAATTGATCTGTCAGCATATATATCTATGATGGATGCTGAGCTGGGACTAGAAATGATGAGAGTAGCCTAGATTTAGATTGTCTTTGGGAAATTGTGTTGTTCTTTAATGATTCCAGACTTCTCCTTGAAACAAGACTGGTTTGTTTGTTTTTTTTAACACCAGTATTCTACTGTTCTGGTGAGGGTCTGTGGCTGTGAGTCATTGGATACCACATTTTCTGAAAAATTAAAGCTTACAGTCACCCCGAGGATAACGGGGGATGTGAGGTACATAGTGCATGTGTGAGTACGCTAATGCTTGTTACCAGCCAAGAATTATCCAAGAAACATTGCATAAAGGATATTACCTGATTGATGATATACAACTGGAAAAGATGGTGAGCAAGTTATATGGCAAGAATAAGAAATAACTGACGGATAGCCATATAATTTGAAAAGCTGAAGTAGATGTGGAAGAAAGCTCCCTAGCATGTTGGATGGGAACCTTACAGTCCTCTACCCTCATCCCGCATAAACAGGAGGACATGGACAAAAGGCTCAAGGATTAAAGAACCCAGATATATTGTGATTTGCATTATTGAAAGGAATACCTACATTGATGAGATCACTATTCCCTAGCATTTACACTATCTACGTTGGGAAGATGAAATAAATTAATCTATGTAAAGTACTTTGTAATGGCAAAGTTTTAAAATAGTAAAGCATCTTTTTTTTCTCAAAACTAAGCATACGTTTTGGCTTAAACAGTTGGATGTGTATGTTTTGTTTGTAACTTTTTTTTGGCTTGGACCCCCTTGGTAATCTAGTAAAGCCTAGAAACCCCTTTGCAGAATAATGTTTGTAAATTCATGAAATAAAATACATAGGATCTCAAGGGAAATCAGTTATATTGAAATACGTATCAAATAGATATTTTGAAAAGTTCATAGACCCCAGGTTAAACATCCCTGGTCTGAGCACCCTGTTATGTAACAGCTGTTCAGATGCTTGAAGTTAGCTCTCATGGACACTCTCCAGTTTGTCACTGCCCTTCTTTCCTTCAGTATAACCAGAACTAAGCAAGGCAAAGCTGAATAGAACTACCACTTCCATAGTGATGGACATTATTATGCCTCAGCATAGCCTAAGATTACATGTATTTTTTTAGGGCTGCTATTTGGAATGAAGGATATTTAACACATAAAATAGGTCATAAATACCCAAGTTTATATCAAGCTTCTAAGCTTTATTTTACTTCTGACTGGGCAATAGCTTTACCTCAAACTCCCACCCCTCAACATTTCCATTTTATCTTCCTGTAGTAAGAAGTTTTGAGGGGAAGGAGGTTGGGCTGGCATATGAATCATATAGTATGAAACCTGATAAAGATTCAAGTTGACCTATAATCCTTTCTCCTTCCATTATATGGCATAGATTCTGGTTTCAGAAAGTTGAAAACATGTAACATGTCTTTTCTTTTTTCTTATTGGTAGCTATGGATATTTTAAATTACGTAGGGAGAGCAGATGGAAAGAGAGGTGCCTGGAGAACTGGCAAAACTGAAGCTAGGTAACATGTACTTAAAATTTTCAGATTCATGTATTTAAATTCAAATTCCTTTTTATAATATATCTCCTGCTGACTGCATCCGTCTCTCCCAGGAATGAAGATGAAATGTATAAAGTTCTGTTGAGTGACTATGAACAACGCCAGAAGCAAATTCTATTGGAAAATGCTGAACTCAAGAAAGTCCTTCAGCAAATGAAAAAGGAAATGATTTCTCTTCTGACATCACAAAAGCAAAAACCTAAAGAAAAAGCTGAGGACACTCCTGGGACTGTAAGTATCTATTTAGTTTTTCTTATGTCATACTAAGCATCATCTTCCTATATCTCTGATACCACCCCTTACTCCTTTGTTGATTTATACCTCTTTTCTGCTAAAGCATGGATGAGAATGGATGCCCAGAAATAGGAAAGTTAGGTGGGATCATTTTGGTAAAGAATATAATTAACTTCACCCTGGGCATGTCTGTATTGTTGTCAGCAGCCTCTTAATTGGTCCCCTTGCCTTTCCCTTCATAATCTATCCTTTACACCACTCAAATAAGTCTAATCATGTGACTGTCACCAAAAATCTGTGGTTGCCATTGCTTGCAAGAAGAATTACAAATTCTGCAACCTGATATTTAAGGCTTCTATAGGTCTTAACTCAGTCCTATATTTTCAATCTTATTTCACATTATTCCCTTTCATACTTTCTTACATTATGGACAAACTGGGGCTTTCTCAACCCCATGTATTTGTGCACATTGTTTCCTATTGCTAGAATGGATTATTTCCACATTGACATGTTGATTTTTTTTTTATTTAGGTGGTAAAGTGGATAGAGCACTGGGCCTGGAGTCAGGAACAACCTGAGTTCAAATCTAGCCTCAGACATTTACTAGTTGTGAGCGCTGGTAAAGTCACTTAATCTCTGTTTACTTCAGTTTTCTCAACTATAAAATGGGGATAATAATAGTAGCTACCTCCCCAGGGTTATTGTGAGGATCAAATGAGATAATATTTTTTAGCATAGTGCCTGGCACAAAGTAGGTGCTTAATAAGTGCTTATTTCCTTTCCTTCCTTCTGTCTCTTCAGTCTCTTCCATGAAAGGTCTATGCTGATTTTTTTTCTTCTATCCCATCTACAAATAATCCTGCCCTCCCTCAACCTCACATCTGTGTTTGATATATCATACCCACTTTCCCCATTCCAGCCTGTATTTTATTTTTTAAAGAATGTGACCTTACTAAATGTATTAGGTCCCAGTGGGTAGAGACTATTGCTTATATCCTCGGTGCCTCACACAGCTCTTTGTAATATGTCACGGAAAAAAAAAACCTCTCTTTTAAATAGCAAGCATTTATTAAGTACCTGCTATGTGCCAGATACTATGCTAGGCACAGAGGATATAAAGACAAGACGTTAAACAGTCCTTTTTCTCAAGGATCTTAGATTCTATTGGGAGAGACAACATGTACATATATGTGTTACAGAATATATAGAGAATAAATTTAAAATAAATACTGGGTCATTAGGGAAGCTACTAGGAGTTAGGGGATAGAGATGAGGACAAGTTTTATATAGAGGGTGGTTCTTGAGCTGCATTCTTGAAATTGAAGGACTTTATAAGGTGGAGGTAAGAAAGTGCATTGTAAGCAGGTAGGACAGCCAGGGCAAAGGCACAGAGGGGAAAGATGGAGGGTCATTTTATATGCAACATTGAGGATATCAGTATGGGTAGATGTCACAGTGCATGGAAAGCTAAAATATATATGAAGACTGGAAAGGTAGGAAGGGACCAGTTTTGTAAAGAGATTAAGATGCCAAACAGTAGTGTATGTTTGATCATAGAGGCAGTAGAGGGCCACTGGAGTTTGCTTAAGCTGGGAGGAAGGCAAAATGTGTTGCTTAATCAGAACTTAAGGAAAATCACTTAGGTAGCTATGTAGAGGGTGAATCGGAGTGGGGAAAGGCTTGCGGTAAGGAGACAGAATAGTTTTATTTGTAATATTCCAGGCTAGAGGTGATGATGGCTCAATGAGTAGAGAATAGGAGACACATCTGAGTGTTGTTGTAGAGAAAGAAATGAGATTTGGCACCTGATATATAGGATGAGGAACAGCGAGGAATTGATGACGTCAAGTTAATGAACCTGGGTGGCTGGAAGGCTGGTTGATGGCCTTGGACAGTACGAAGAAGTTTAAAAGAGGAGTTCTGTTTCAGACATGGTGGATTTGATAATGATAGCATATCCAGTTCAAAATGTCCAGTAGGGGCAATTGTTAATTCAGAATTAGAGCTTCACCGAAAGAGGATAGGGCTGGATATATAGGTTTGGGAGTCATCTGCATAGAGATAGTAATTGAATCCATGGGAGCTGATGAGGTCATCAGATGAAAAAGACCCATCTCTGAGGTAGTTGTTAAGAATTGTAGAGTAAAACAAAACAAAAATTACTTGGTTTGATTGGACTTGGAAGAGAAATGTATTTGTCAAAGATTTTTAAACATTTGGAGCTCGTTTATATTATTTTAGTCTACTTCTACTTGAAATTATTTTTATTGTCCGTTTCAAGGTTAGCTTCATGCAGAGACACACTATACACATAATAATACTATTAACATTTTTCATCTAAGAATCTCAATTTTTTAACTTTCTTAAAAAACTTTTGAGGTGAGTTTTATACTTCTCTAAGCATTTTCGTAGATGCGTAATCTCATTTTGGTCTGATGGTAGTCTTGTAAGATAGGTACTGCTTGATTTTAGTATTATCCCCATTTATAGGGGAGGAAATAGAAACACCAGAGCTACCAGCTAGTTAGTGATACAACCAGCACTAAAATTTACTGCTTTACTTGACTCCTAATTCAGTGTTCTCTCCATGAAATAATTTTGTTCAGTAGTATATGGTCTTTACCCAATAAAGGTTATTCTTCATTTTAAAAAAAATGTTTGAAACTTAATATTGTACATTAATACAACCGAATTTGCTTAAGTAACTTTTTGTTGAGATTAATAATTGCAAAGATTCTTGTTAAGTGCTGACTTCTTTGGTATACATGAAAAATATAAAGGCTTTTAGAAAGAAATTTTAAGTTTCTTTTTGCTTTTAATACCAGTTATTTTCCCTTAACTGCTACCATCTCCACTGAACCCTTTCTTCTAACAAACATTTAAGCAAAGTCAGATGACACAGCAGTGGATTTTAACAGTAGACATTGTATGCATAGTTATCCTTGTGTTGTATCCCACCCTTTCCTGAGAGGAGAAAGTAATCATTTCATTCCATTAGGAGGACTGTAGACCCGGAGCTGGAAAGGAGTTACTGAGTCTACCTCTTTCATTTTACACATGAAGATGAAGGTCAGAAGTGCCCACGACAGTATAGACAGTAAGAGCCTGAGCTGTGGGAATCAAGTTCAGGTCCTGTGACCCTCAAGTTCACTGATTGCTCTTTTCACCATAGAACATTCCCATTTGTTTCCTTCTTCATTGGCATAATAAATCTGTTCCCCAATTATGGATCAATTATTTTGTTTCCAGATTTTGCTGTCACAGTAAATGCTGTTATTAACAGGGGACCTTCTCTCTGCCCCCACTTTCTATCTCTGATCTTTTAGGGGCATATACTAAGTAGGATTTCTGGGTTAAAAGGTTTGAACAGTTAAGTGACATTGTTTTTTAGAATGGTTGGACTAATTCATAGGTCTACCAACAAAATATTGTTGATTTTGTCTTCACACAGATGTTTTAACATTAATTCTTTTCATTTTTAATATCTTTGCCAATTTACTTGGTGTGAGATGAAATCTCCAAGTTGTTTTAATTGCACTTCTCTTACTAGTGAGATGGAACAAACTTTCATATGATTGTTGATCATTTCCATATTTGTTAGCTTCCTATTTGTCTTAGATTTAAACTTTTATCAGAACTAATGAAAGATTTTTTTTCACATTCACTTGTTTCTCTTCTACATTGAGTTTATTTATGCAGAAACTCTTTTAATGTGACCAAAATTATTTTTCTTTTGTGATCTCTATATTTCATTTGTTTACAAGTTCACCTCCTACTTTTTGTATTCTGTTTTCTTCTAATTTTTAAAAATGTCTTTTATATTTGAGATGTGTATAATTTTGGAGCTTCCTGTATGTACGTGGAATAAGATGTTAGTCAATTCAAATTTCTGGCAAGCTTCCTTCCAGTTTAGTTTTCCCAACAGTGCAGCTTGAATAGGGAGTTCTTGCCCTCTTTATTTGGTGTTCTTAGGTTTATCAAACCCTAGATTGTTATATTCACTTATTTCTGGGGGTTACTTTCCACTTTGTTCCATGATTGTTTATGTTTTGTAATTAGTATCAAATAGTCTTGAATATTACTTCTTGATGATGCCATTGGCCTCTCCACTACCTGATTTTTGTTGATTGCTGCCCTTGATATTTGAGACTTCTTTTGTTCTTCCAAATGAATTTTGTTACTTTATCTCTATAAAGCAATCTCCTCTGGCAGGTTGGTATAGCACTAAATCTCTAAATTAGTTTAGGTAATAGTTATTTTTATTATACTGGCATGATTTTATCATAACACAAATGACTTTATTTCTATAAACATCTCCTTTTATTTGTGTTAAAGTCTTGAGTATGTGTGTGTTGAGATAGCTATTAATCACCTGTGTATATGTATTTACACAGCTCTTAATTATTTCCTATGACCCCACTCTTTCTTCAGGATGTCCTCATCCTCTTCATTTAGGTCTGTCTTTTTCTTCCCCTTTCTGTAAAAACGTTTGAGGGTGCCTCCAGCTTCCCCCTCCTGACTCCTTACTCACATTATTCTTACTGTACTCCCCCCAGAGTTATACATTTCTGAAGTTCATCATTTTGAATGGGATTTCTGTTACTTTCTCCTGGTTTTTGTTGATTCTATATAGAAGTATCAATGACTTTTAATTTGTTTTATATCTTCCTCTTTTACTTAAACTTTTATCTCAGGTTTTCTTGTTTCTCTGGAGATTTTTAAGTTTTACCTTATCTTCAATTTTTTTCTCTCCCCTTAACTGATGTTATATATAATGTATCTATGTGTATGTAAGTATGTATGTATACATATATTCATTTATTAAAGAAGAAACTTTCCATGGTTATGCTTGTTAGTTTTTTTTTAAACAACATAAATGAATGCTGTATGTTATAATCCTGTGTTTTTTGTTTATGTGATTGTTAATCCCGTTGTTCATCCATCATTGGTGTCCCTAGTATAAATACAACTTGTTCTTAATAAAATATTTTTAGTGA